AATGATATATCCAGCAGAGTACAAAGTTTGGACAACTATCATAAAATAACACCCAGAGCATAGTGTTTTACATTTCTGATTCCCCGTGCTGAATTTTTCTAGATTGATCAGTGTATTTCACATGCAGGACTTGAAACCACAACTCTTACAATGTAAGGCCCCATTCACACTGAGCGACATGAAAATCACGCGATATTGAGCGACATTGCGCAACTTTTTCCTATTGGGCTGTATGCAATCAGGAGCAAAATCGCTCGAAAAAAGGGTCATGTAGGAGCGACAAGCTACCAGCGACGAGCTACAAGCGATATTGAGCGACGAGATGTGAACAGCTCCATTGAAATGGATTGGAGAAGCTACATAGAGCGATATCGCGTGGAAATATGAGCGATATCGCTGCAAAAATCGCTCGATAAATCGCTCAGTGTGAATGGGGCTTAAGGCAGCACACATTAGCAATAATATTCTAGCACAGGCTTTTATACTAGGGAGGGGAAGAAGCAGCATGTATGTCTGAATGCAATAATATATTCTATATTATAGCACAGTCTTTTTACTACGGAGGGTAAGTAGCATGTATGTCTGAATGCAATAATATTCTAGCACAGGCTTTTTACTAGGGAGGGTAAGTAGCATGTATGTCTGAATGCAATAATATTCTAGCACAGGCTTTTGACTACGGAGGGTAAGAAGCAGCATGTATGTCTGAATGCAATAATATTCTATCACAGGCTTTTTACTAGGGAAGGTAAGTAGCATGTATGTCTGAATGCAATAATATTCTAGCACAGGCTTTTTACTAGGGAGGGGGAAGAAGCAGCATGTATGTCCGAATGCAATAATATTCTAGCACAGGCTTTTTACTAGGGAGGGGGAAGAAGCAGCATGTATGTCCGAATGCAATAATATTCTAGCACAGGCTTTTTACTAGGGAGGGTAAGAAGCAGCATGCATGCAAGTTTAAATCCAACCAATAAAAGTAGATCATTGATCTAAAGCAAATTTTCCATGGTTTATCTGAGAAATAAAAACTCAGAAATCATAACTACTTTGGTTTGTTCGATACATTCATAAACTAGACTCTTTGAATGATTTCATATTACTCTCCCTTTGAGTAACATTAATTGCCACACTATAGGGTGGGTTTGCACAAATTATCTAAAAAGTAAGATCTAGGGAAGTAAATTAACTACTGTGTTGGGAAGTTAAAAAGGCTTCATATTGATGATAGCTGTTGATTAAATGGGAGGGATAAGAAAACCATTTTGGCAAAGGCAGATCCAAGCCGTAACTGGACGAGCATTTATCTTCCGCCAGTATAACTACCAGCACAGTGTTATGGAACACAGACATTTCAAAGTGGATAGCCAAAGTATCAAGGGAGTGGATAACTAAATATTTGAAAGATGTAGGTAGACCTGCAGATCCAGATCTTCAGAAGTCACACCACAGTTTGTGATTATTTCTAGAACGTCCAAAAAAAGAAAATTGGATTAGCACGTGTCGTATATCCACATTTTACATTCAGCTAAAATATCAATTCAAGAGAGCACTTATTTGCTCCATGCAAAGTGCCTGATTATTAGCAGATCAGGCCAGTGGCTTGAACATTTGCAGATAAAGTCTAAAATGACCAGCTTTGTTTAATAACTATCTACTTTTACCATCAAAAGTAATTTCAGCTGGGTCCATCACTCAGGCGAAGTGAACATATGGCCTATGTCAAGCAGGTAAAAGTGGGCACAAATCACAGAATTTATTACCTAATTTCCTTTTTCAACAGGTAAAGTGAAAGAAACAACATAAAAAAAGGACCATCTTCAAGACTAAGTTTGCACCTATGATTTGCTGATTTGTGTGCTTCTACAGGACACGTACAGAATATATGGACCTAGAATTTTAACGGACAAAAAGAAATAGATTTGTACCACGTTGCATGAAAAGCTTAGCCCTTAAAAATATTTGTTTCAAGTGGTTTGCATATAGCCACATAATTCAAGAACTCCTCTTGTTTTAGTAAACCATACACTTAAAAAAAATGTACAGTATTTCATGTAAAATAAGGGGTAGCAAAATATTCTCATTGCTGTTAATAAAACATTCAAGGACTAGCTGACTAATTTGGGCAAGACAGTTCTAAGTGGTATGCTCCCATCTGAGTTACTCAATAAATTGGCCCGTAGCTTATTGGCCACCCCCGCGACAGGGGGTAGCTTAGAACTTATCCCTGGGAAAGAGCTAATATGGCTGGTCATTTTATTTCCAGTGGACTTCTCTGTTACGGGGGGCTTAGGCAATCGCTTGCATATCCACTGGTGCCTTAGTGCCTGAGTTGGGGTCAAGCGTGCAGACGGATCCCAATTCAAACAACCTTTTAAGAAGTCGATGAAAAGAGCATCTTCACAGCCCTTCAAAGCTGCCACCCAGTCCTTGCTACCAGGAGCACCACGCATTTTGCCCCTTCGTGACCTGCTTCCATTTAGGACAACAGATCCATTAGGTAGTGTAGTGGCTGTGCAGTAGCGAGGATAGCCTTTAGAACTGACAAAGTTTTTTGTTCTTTTCGCTTGATCTAAAAGCTTTGGAGGAGCAGTGCCGAGGAGTTCCATCATGCATGCCAACTGATCTCCTTCATCTTCCCCTGGAAATAAAGGGTAGCCAGTCAACAGCTCCACTAAAATGCAGCCAAAGCTCCACATGTCAATTGGCATTCCATACCGACTTCCCAAGATGACTTCGGGTGCCCGATAGAAACGAGACTGTATATATGTGTAGACTCTCTGGTGTTCAAAGCAACTCGACCCAAAGTCTATCACTTTAATTCCACTGCGCCCTTGTTGCTTTAGCAATATATTTTCTGGCTTAAGGTCACAGTGGATAATGTTATGCCTGTGCAATGCTTCCAAGCATTGCAAGATTGAATGAGCAAACTTACGGACTAGCTGCAGACTGAAACCTTGGAATTTGTTTCTCTTAATTAGTTCATACAAATTGATGCTTAGCAACTCAAACGTCATGCATATGTGATTGCGGAACGTAAAGCTTTCCAGCATATGGATAACATTCATGCTCCCAGTTTTATCTTGCTTTTTTAGATGTTCCAGAATGCGGATCTCTTCTGCTGCCTGCCGATGGAATCTCTTTTCATTGCGGACAATCTTGAGTGCAAAATGTTGATGAAGTTTGTGGTCATAAACTTTTGCCACCTGGCCAAAGCTACCTTTCCCAATGATTTTGATCACTTCATAACGGTAAGCCAGGTGGTCATGAGGGACTAATATATATCCACCTTGGTCATCATCATACCCTCCATTATTTGTACCCCCAACAATGCCTTGTTTCTTTTTTGCATTTGGACCCACAAAGTAAATTTCATGAAAATTGCTGATCTCTTGCAATTCATAAGATGCCAGTTGAGGTTTGTGTTGCTTCAGCGCTTGTTCAGGAGTTAGATAGGTGGCTTTTGCAGACTTGATGGATCCATCACTGGATTTAGAGTTTCCTGAGCTGTCTGAACTCTTCTCTTTGGTCAGTACTGGCAACACCCTGTCAGTTCCAGAGATTTTGGCACCAGCTCTAAGATTTCCAGAGTTCTCAAATAATTGCTGGACTTTGACCTGTTGGTGATCCTTCATTGTGAATTTATTCGTACTTATCTATAAAGATAAACAAAAAGAAAATACATTTGGTAAAGTGCTGCACAGTTTTTTTTATTTAGATACACATACAAAACAGGTCAAAATACCCTATCCCGCTTGCAAGTGGTTTATGTAGGTTCCCCAGTACAATGTCCCTTGCTGAAGATATGCTAATAAAACGTCTTCTCTTTTGAGAGCAATCAACAGACACTTTGCACGGCTCTCAATTCTGGCGGTCACTGTCAGAGGGAGTCCCCACTGACAATCATGAGCCAACACATGCTGCCACTGTTAAATATGGTCATCTAGGCATTGGTGACCTTTGTATATAATAAGGATGCACAGATACCGTTTTTTTTGGTATCAAGTACCGATATTTTGTTTCCGGTGCTCGCCAATACTGAATACCAATACCGGAAGTCCAATTAAGGAAGCTGGGTGGCGTGTAATGACTCGCCACCCAGCTTCCTGATTAGCTGGGAAGCTGCCTCTATGCTCCCTCATCACCAGGTGACGAGGAAGCATGGAGCCGGCTTTCTGGCCAATCAGGAAGCCAGGGGGTGGCTAATGACTCGCTGACTGATTGGCGAGCTTCCCGAATCAATCAGGAAGCTGGGCGGCGACTCATTACACACTGTCCGACTTCCTGGTAGACCAGGAAGCCGCCTCTATGCTCTCTCTTCACTCTCGAGCATGGAGCCAGCTTTCCGGCCAATAAGGAAGGTGGTCGGTGTGTAATGACTCACTGCCCAGCTTCCTGATAGCGGAAGTTCCAGTATCGGGAGCATTTGGGGCGAGTACGGGCAGCACTCACTTGGGCTAGGTTCACAGGGCAACAAACACTACCACCCTTTGAAAAGCAATCCGCTGTGAATCACTCATCAGAGGGCAGTTGAAGTTCAAGCGGCGATGTTACAACCTCCTTAATGCCTTTTTTTTTTTGCATTGCAATACAGAGACGCAACCACATGCCACGTGGTTGGTAACACGGATCAATCGCCTGCTTTCACTGCCACCCGTGTAACTTGCTTTTCTAGCAGCATTCACTCAGCATTATGTATTTACCTACCCCATAAACCCAAAATCCCCCAAAAAAAGTTTGCACATAGTTTTTTTTTTAACTAAAAAAGCCCTTCAATTAATCCCATAGTAAACAGTAGCAGAATGTGTTACAGTGGTGGTGTTCTTGCATATTTTTACTCTAACAGGAGGTACCCCTCCTAGATTTCATTTCCCTCTCTGAAATGGCCAAATCTTCTGGTGTTTGGAATAAAAGCGAGTTTTCAGCAAATCATCTCTCCTAAAAGGTAGGCAAGAGAAGCATTCTCAGTCACTGGTGCTATAACTGACTGCAGTGGCACTTTTTCATTTGAAGAGACAGCACAGGTCATATGGCAGCCCTGGCAGAAGCATGGGAAATGGTCACCGTACTCAGACTCAACAGAAGTAATTGTGTAATCAACCTATAGCACTGCATAACTAGGGTTCTTGGAAGTGTAAAGCACAGTTAACTGTATTCATTCTAAGAAGAACAACATTTTAAATTAAACAATATTTGTAACAGCCTTTTGCTTTGAGCTTATCAAAACAATAGTACATGTAAAATGTAGGCCCTTACATACATACATACAATTTTCCCTATGCCTTTTATATGTGTATGCAATAAAGGATTTTAGCGGAGTGTCCACTGTGTAAGTTGAAGCCAATTACCCAGTTAAAGCAATATAAATAAATCAGGTGGTGATGACAGGACAGTAAGAATAAAAATAAAAATGACATGCTACTTACAACAAGTCTACCAATAGAAGGCAAAGTGGAGGGACTCTCTTTTTCTGCTGCAGCATCCTGTACTAACACATGGTCGACCCTCATGTAGGAATCATACAATCCATCTCCATATCGCACTGTAAGAAACAAAACCATAAATAGCTATCATCCTCTATTGATTTTGGTCTATGCCCCACCCAAAACACCAAACCGAAAAGAGCAAGAGACAAAAATACTACTATCACGTTCACAATCTCACAAACCCTAAAACTGATCTTATGAAAAAAATCATAGTAAGTACTGATAAATGAAATTCTTTGTTATATTTCCACCTAAATGTCTAATTTTCATGATCCTAAATTAAAGTGAAACTCCAATATTTTAAAAACAAAATTGACGTATGCCACACCACATCCCTTAGGGCTTGTTCACACCGAAAGCGTGTGCGTTCCAGAGCAGTAGCTATTTTTTGCGTTTGCAGTGGAACGGAGGCAAGGTTTTGCCACGCGTCCCATCACACGGGGGGGGGGGGGTAGTTTCTTAGGGATCGCGGTGCATTCCAGCAGCTACCGCTCTGGAAAGCACGCGCTTTCAGTGTGAACAAGCCCTTACAAAACTGACTGCACTGAAATGCAAGTTTAGGCCTTCATTATCAGCCCCAGCAGCTCAGATTCGGAACTGCAACTTGTGTTAGAAATGTGGCAGAAATTTGAAGAAAAGTCTTTAGTATTTGCAGTGTGCTCTAAAAAAAGTGTTCAGGAATAAATAGCAATATATAAGGATGAGCCATAACATTATGAGCCTTCCACCTAATATTCGTTAAAACTGCACCACTACAAGAATACTGTCGCAGTAGAACACCCAGAGACCACTTAGTAAAGGCTTTTAAAAGTCACCTATAAGGGCACGATTACAACATTCGCAGTGCGTTGCAGCCCGATATTCCGCCAGAACGCACTGCCTCTCATTGCAATCGGCTCACTTTTTAGTGGGGCAGGAGGGGGCATGACGGGCCATTGAAGTGAATGGCACCGTAGCCACACCCTCTGGCCGCAATGCGATCATCCGCAAGGGGATCGCAGCACACATTGTGCTTGCGGTCCGGTGCGATCAACAGTACTTGCAGCATTTTGATCGCACCGGCCCGGACCGCAGGCACAATGTGCCCTGCAATCCTGTGCGGACTATCGCATTGAGGCCGGAGGGCGTGGCTACTGTGCCATTCACTTCAATGGCCCGCTACGCCCCCTCTTGCCCGGCAAAAAAGTGAGCCGCTGCAATGCGAGGCAGTGCGTTCTGCCCAGAATCGGGCTGGAATGCACTGCAACTGGTGTGAACGGGCCCTAAACAAATTTGGGTACTGCCGTTTTTTTTTGCTGTTTCACAGCTGCATGCTATTTTAAAGCATGACATGTTTGGTATCAATTTACTCGGCACAACCTCATCATCTTCTACAGTCTATCAAAAAGTTGAGTGTTATATTGTGTTTACCATAAATATGTGTTAGATCACATATCGGATTACATAAAAAAAATTGCATCTGCCACCATTTTATTCTACAAGGTCTGGCAGCAAAAGGGTTAAAGCAGAACCAAAATATTTTCTACTTTTTTTTTAACATACAAACTTATTTAGCAATATTTTATATTATCTAAATGCAATCTTGTCTAATGTATGTACTTGCTCAGCATTAGTGGGAGGTGATGAAGGCAGATCTACTGTCTGAGGGAAGCGTTATCATCATTACCTTACAGGAAGCTCTCTATAGAAACTACAACTGAACTCCAGGCAAATAAAAAAATTAAAAAAAGAACACCCTTGCAGTGAGGTTCCCCCATAACCCCATACTACAATATACTACATTTGTAGCCTATGATCTCTGAGCTGTGCAGCCAGCAGAAATAAAGCCAAAGGGTTATAGAGAAGCCTAGATCCTGCTGCTTTGTTTATACAGCAGCTAGGAAACCTATTGAGAAAGCCACAAGACACACACAGGTCTATTTTAAAATGTTTTTACAGAAGATTCATACAGCTTTCACCAAGAATTTACACATTTTTTTTCTACAAAACCAAATTAGAAAATTGTTTGATTTTTTGGGAAAAACATTTATAAACCCCATAGTTCTGAAAATATGCAACCTTTTATTCTTTTTTGATTTAAAAAAACATTTGTTCTGCTTTAAACTCTTAACTTTTATAATTAATTTACTTCATGAAGCAGACATACTTCCTGGACCTTTAAAAAGACCCCCCCTGGGTCAGGGCTGGACAAATCCCAGAAGCCAGCTAGCCAATGCTCCCCAAAAATAACCCTAACTTTTAAGGATTTCTCTAGCGCTGCTGGCTCCTGGATTGGAAAGACGGGCTCCTGATTTCCATATTGATTTGTCCACTCCTGCATTGGGTACCCCTGGCTGAGAATCTACGATTTAGAAATTCTTTCCATCACGTTATTTCACTATGACACAGGGAAACGTAGAGCCCGAAATGTTTTTGTCCAGCATGTAATAAAAAAAACCTGCTTTTTTTCTGGTGCTATCCCCTGCAGGCTTACCACTTTGTGATCCAGCACCAGACTACTTTGGGGTTTACTTATACCCAGTGTCATTCAATGGGCTTTTTGCGGGCCCAGTGTGTCAAGGATTTGCCCCTTGCATACATTATCAGGCTGCCCTGCAAAGACTGTTAAATTATGTTGAGAACAGTGCCATGTCTTGATGTGGTGTGCTCTTGGCAGAATTTAAAGCCCCTTGTGACTTGTAAATGCATACCTTTCCGTTGGTCCCCAATACACTTCTGGGTATGGGTGAGCATGTGACAGTACCCTTGCCTTGTGATAGGCCGAGCGCTGCCACATGGGGCCAGGACAAGGTGTTCATAGCCCTGTATAAACTCACTTTGGAGCTTGCATGGGGTTTTCTTTTCCTGGTCCTGGTGGTTGAATGGAACAGCGAAGGAGAGAGGAGATGCGATGATGTGCTGCTCGAGATGGGGGGGGGGGAGGGGCAAGTGCATCTTTTACTGTATCATCCAAACTTGAAGTTCACTTTAAACAAATTTTAGTTTTAAATTTGAAAACAAGTTTAGAAGAGCTAAACTTTCAAGCTAGTTCTTATTTTGGTTTGGAATCACAATGCAGAGTTCTTCCTTTCCTGTTTGGTTGACGTCTGCATCGGAACAGGAAGGCATGGACAGCAACAAAAACATTGACAGATGTTTTAACCCTACTGAAAATGTGTTTGACTGTGCCCCCATTAGAGAAATTTACCATCACTTCTCTTCAGCTTATGGTCTCACCCAAAGAAAATAAAGTTTTGTCTGAAGTTGGTTTCTATAGTGTATTTAAACCCGAAGAACACACAGGAAATACAGTGCAGCTTATCATTACATTAGTACATTAGTTGCATTAGTTTTCTTTTTCCTGGCTTCTTTACTTTATTTTTACCTGGTGGTCCTGTCAGTGACACACTTCCTTTCTTTTTCCTCTATGTGACCATCTGGTGATCTCACACTCTCCACCTCATTTGTTTGATTGCCCAATCCCATCTAATCATACACTTTCCCTCTTCCTGTCCACCTATCTCCTGCTCCTCTTTGTTTTCCTGGAGATCCAGTGGCCACCTGCTATGTTCTTTAAAGTGTGAACTGAAGGGGCCATGGGCCACTTCCTGTAGGAGAGCATGGGGATATGACAGCAGACTTTACATCCCTCTGCCTTTTACTGTCTCCATGCCTCCATTTCTCCACTCCTAAAAGTGCCTGCAGAGTGTGGAGCCGTCCATTTCTCAAGATGTTGCTGTCCAAGAAAATGACAGACTGCTTAAGAGTCTACCTTCCGCAACAGTTGTCTCCTCCTACACCTGCTTCCCCTCTCACCTACATTGCACCAGCCAGCCATCTCTTCACAGCTTAATGGCCACATGATCTGGAGGTAGGATAACTTACCTTTGGCGGCAGCTGTCTCCTCCAAAGCCAACTCATCTGCAGTGCAGATGGGGCACAGCAAGGACAGCAATAAAAGGCGGCCATACACTGCTTGAATTTGAGCTACAGGTGGCCCTGCTGGCACCACTCCATTCCACAAAGGTCGATTTTTCAATAAATGTTTGCCAAAAGAGCCAGGCCAGACAGCTGCAGTCACTGTTAAGGTATTCTGACAGCTGTGGGCCTTGGCCGTCAGAAAACAATAGTCTAGAAGTGGAAATACTCCTTTCCACACTGTTTAGCATGGATGGGGTAAAGTGTTTCTACATGTGTATGGCCAACTTGAGAGAAGTGGCCAGAAGTATGAAGCTTTCTTCTGTTGCGCTCCTCCTGGAGAACTTAGCTTTGATCCTCCATTCCAATGAAAGACAATCCTCCCTAGCTGGCAGACATCCTTTCCAATGCCCCCTTTCCCCAGCTGGCAGACATTCCTCCCTGCCCTTCAAACTGACAGCCACCTCTTTCCAGCTGCACCCCCTCGCGGGCTAAGAGACATCCATCTTTGCTCCCACCACAAACAATTATACCTTTCTGACCACCTAAGCTCCCCTCTCAGGCATCTCTCAATGGCTACTTAACCCACAGCCTCACATTGCCCCGCCTAAAACATCCATAGCTGCCATAGCCATCTCTAGCAAATATCCCTTCCTGGCTGCCTCAACCCACTACTGTCAGACAGTCCTCCCGGGCTGCCTCACTCCCCATACAGTTATTAGCACACGTGTGTATGTAAACAACAATTTCAAAATGCATATTGGATACCACTGCGCACACCGGAGCAAGAGAAAAAAAATAGCTCCCTAATTTATGGTCAACTGTAAACCAACGGATTTAAAGTGTCACCTATTTTTCCAAAACATTGGGATTATATTGTGTTTGTGAGAGAGAGAGAGAGAGAGAGAGAGAGAGATCCAATATAGTATAATAGATATATCTATCTAATATAGATATATCAATATATAGAGCTATATATCTATATACCGTATATACTCGAGTATAAGCCGAGATTTTCAGCCCATTTTTTTGGCTGAAAAGTGCCCCCCTCGGCTTATACTCGAGTCAGTGTCAGGTGTCTTCTTACTTACCTCGCCGAGCGTCGCGTCACTCCTGCTCCGGTGGGCGGCGCTCCGAGTGGGGTCATCTGGCAGTCTCC